AACATTCAGCAATTCTACTCTTAGGCATATAGCCAAAGGATGCACATTCACACAACAAGGACATCTGTTCAACTATGTTCATAGCAGCATTATCTGTAATAGCTGGAACCTGGAAGTAACCTAGATGCCTCTCAACCGAAGAATAGATATAGAAAATGTGGTACATTTACACAATGGAGTACTACTCAGTGGATAAAAAGGAATGGAATATTGAAAATTGCAGGAAAATGGATGTAACTAGAAGAAACCATTCTATATGAGGTAACCCAGCCACAGAAAGATACACATGGTAGGTACTCACTCATATATGGATACTAGAAATAGAGAAAAGGATTACCAGCATACAATTCACACCTCCAGAGAAGCTAGGAAACAAGGAGGACTGTAAGAGAGACATACATGGTCTCCCAGTGAAGGGGAAAAGGACAAGAGCCCCTGAACAAATTGGGAGTGTGGTGGGGGGAATGCGGTACAAGAAAGAGGAGGGGAGAAGAGGAGGAGAGAGGAGAACATGAGAGATCAGGAAGATTGAGTGGGGAGAGGAATAGAGGAGAGCAAGAAAAGAGACACATCAATAGAGGGAACCACTATAGGTTTAAAGAGAAATTTGGCAAAAGAGAATTGTACAAAGCTCCACAAGGATGACCCGAACTAGGAATCTAAGGAATAGTGGAGAGGCTACCTTAAATGCTCTTCCCCTATAATGAGAATGATGACTACCTTAAATGCCATCCTAGAGCCTTCATCTAATAGTTGAGGGAAGCAGAAGCAGAGATCCACAGCTAAACATTGAACTGTACTCCTGGAATCCAGTTGCAGAGAGGGAGGAGTGATGAACAAAGGGGTCAAGACCATTCTGGGGAAACCCACAGAAATAACTGACCTGAGGAAGTGTAAACTCATTGTCCCCAGTCTGGCAGCTTGGGAACCAATATAGGACCAAACCAGGCCCACTGAATGTGGGTGTCAGCTAGGAACACTAGGAAGTCTATGGGGCCTCTGACAGTGGAACCAGGATGAACCCCTAGTACACAAATGGATTGTGGGAGCCCATTTCCCATGGAGGGATACTCTCTTAGCCTAGATACACAGGAGAGGGCCTAGGCCACACTCCCAAGTGACTTGACAGATTTTGATGATCCTTTATGGAAGGCCCCACCCTCCCTGGGGTGTCTATGGAGGATGAGATGGAGGGTTTGTCGGAGGCATGGAAGGATGGGAGGGAGAGGGAACTGGGATTGATATGTAAAATAAGATTGGGATGAGATTTGTTGCAACAATGTAAAACAGAGGCTAAGATTCCTCCAATCTCAGAAACAAATGATAAAATGAAGAATGCTTCTGCAGAGATCTACAGCTAAGCTAAGCACTGAGCCAAACTTCTGGAATCCTCTAGTAGAGAGGGAGGAGTGATGAGGCCTCCTGGGATCAAGGCCATGCTGGGGAAACCTACAGAAACAGCTGACCCGAGCTAGTGGGAACTCATTGACTCCAGACTGACACCTGGGGAAGCTGCATAAGACTGAACTAGGCCCCCTGAATGTAGGTGTCAGCTAGGGGACTTGGGCAGTTTATGGGTCACTGGAAGTGGAATCAGTATTTATCCCTAGTATATGAAGTGGCTTTTTGGAGCCCATTCCTTATGGAGGGATACTCTCTCAGCCTGCATACAGGGGTGAGGGCCTCAGTTCTACCCCAAATGATGTGACAGACTTTGATGATCCCTCATGGAAGGCCTTATCTTCTCTGAAGAGAGTATGAAGGGAGATGGTGAGGGGAATGGTGGGACAGGAAGGAGAGGGAACTGGGATTGGTCTATAAAAAAACATTGTTTTAAAAAGAAAAAAAAAACAGCTATAAATAAGGCGAATCAGCCAATGGGCTCTTTACAGCCTGGAATTCCCCTGCCTTCTTTATTAGCTAATGAATGGTCTAGTAAAGTGATTTATTTAAAAAGCTGCTGTTTTACTATACCTTTACATGGACGGAATAAAGAAAAATTTGCCTTCAAACTGTCTAATTATAATAATGCTAAACCTGTTCAAAGGTATCACTGGAAAATTCTTCCACAATCAATGTTAAACAACCCCACCCTGTGTCAATGCTGTACAACAGCTGTTAGAAATAATTTTTAAGCAGTTTCCTCCATCTAAAATTTATTATATAGATGACATCTTACTGGCTAATTTACCTTAGGAAAAATATTTGATGAAATAAAGAGAATTTTGGGTTGCTGGGAATTAGAAATTGCTCATAAAAATACAAAGAGGAGATTCTATCAATTATCTAGAACATAAGATAGGTTTACAGAAAATCTGACCACAGAAATCAGGACCACAAATAAGGAGAGATCAATTACAAACTCTTAATGATTTTCAAAAAATGCTGGGAGATATTAACGAGCTATGGCTCACAATTAATTTAACTATTCAAGAGTTAAATAATTTATTTAAAAACTTTACAAGGTGACAAGGGCTTAAATAGTCCAAGAATATTATCAACTAAGCGTCAGAGGCCTATAAAGATGGCTCTACTTCATCCTGACTAAAGAAAGGTCAGAGAGTTCAAAACTGTCCTTAGTAAGTAATAAGACCCAAAGGACAAAAGTGTGGCTACAGTAGGGTGTTTGATCTTGGCCTTGAGTGTATGAACCCAAGTTTGAACCATGGGCAAGCTGGCTGGCTACAACTGCAGCCCCAAAAAGACAGCTTCCCACAACTAAGGCTGAGAGACAATTGGCTCTGGTAGAAAAAATTACACGATGCACATGTGGATTGTTTGGGTCCAAAGTTTGACTATATTTTAGTTATTTTGCCTCCACTCATTATCCCACAGTATTCTTTTCAAGAAAATACTGTTTTTATTTTAAATTTTTTGTTCATGTTGCATACCAACCACAGTTCCCCTTCTCTCCCCTTATCCCATTTCTTACCCCACTTCTCCTCTATCCCCTCCACAGAAAGGGTAAGGCCTCCCAGGTGAAGTCAATGATGTTTGGTACATCAAATAGAGGCAGGACCAAGCCCCTGCTCCCTTGCATCAAGGCTGAGCAAGGCACTCCACTTTGAGTTTTGTTCATGGCAACAGATAGAGACATATTTGCGTTCTTCTACATGTTGACATCCAGTTATGACAGCTCCTATATTTTATAATGATGCAAATGAATCAAGAAAGGCAGGTTATAAGTCAGGAAAAATAAGTAAATTAGTTCAAAACCCTTATGATTCAGTTCAATAATCAGAATTATATGCTATTCCCATGGCATTATTAGATTTTCCAGAACCCCTTAAAATTTTTACTGAGTCTAAATATGTAGAAAGAGTTGTTTTACATATTGAAACCACTGGACTTGTTCCAGATGATTCAGAATTAATGTCATTGTTTTCAACTATAACAAGTAATCAGAAATAGAAATCATGCATTGTATATAACACATTATCAGATCCTACCCCCATCTACTGGGCCCTCTATCACAAGGTAATGATGAAATTGATCAGCTATTAATAGAAAATGTTCTAAAAGACCCAGATTTTCACTTACAAAAAAAACCCAGTGTGTTCATAGCAAAATTTGAAGAAAGATACTTCATTCACTTGTCAACTTACAAGGAATTGTCCTGCTTGTTCCTTGTATAATAAAATCCCATTGCCTATAGGAAGTCACCCAAAAGGTATTCAAAGAAAGGACATTGGGTAAATGGATGTGTTTCATTTGCAGTTTGGGAAATTAAAGTATTTGTATCATACCATAGATATATATTTGGGATTTCAATGGGCAACTGCTTTAAGTTCTGAAAAGGCTGATTCTGCAATTACATATTTATTAGGCTATTAAGGGAAGACCTGTATAAATTAAGACTGACAATTCTCTGGTATTCTAGAAAAATCAAACCATTTTTTGAATATTACAACAAAAAGCATATTGCAGGTATACCACAAAATAGTACAGAAACAGCAGTGATAGAGAGATCTAATCACACTTTAGAAGTCTTGCTTAATGAACAAAAAGGGGTAATAAATATCACAAGAGATAAATTACACAGTGCTTTTTTAACTTTACATTTTTTAATGGTAAAGAGAAATGAACAACCTGAAAGAGTAAGAGGGAGATAGAAAAATGGATAGAGACACACACAGGAAGTAAAAAGAACGGACATTTCAGTTTGAAGAGACTTGTTTGAGATGGTAAGAAAGAACAGAAGCTTTGGAGAGGGCTGAAAAGACAAAGGTCAGCCGGGGACTTTCTCTGCCCCTCTGAGCTGGCAGGCTTCACCTCAGCATATGGCTCCCGAGTCTTTTTTGGTAAAATGGAACAATTGAGATTTTGATAAAAAAAAAAATTTGACACTCCAATGCATGGCACAACCACATGGACAGAGAAATCATGCCAGCTGTAGACAAACTGAGAAGCCATCAGATTTGGTAAGACACCTTGAATGTCCTCACCAAGAGAGTTAAGTAATAGTAAAAGGAAAAGTCTTCCCTGTGTTAAGGATGGAAAATATAATACAAGGTGTAAGGGCCCAGTATAGTGCTGCTTTAAATGAAGATAGAAGCAGAGAATGAAAAGATAAATGACTTAACAGAGAATGACACAATACCAATTATAATTACTATCAGTCTGGTAATTCATATTTTTATCTTTAATAGACAGAGTGGTTTTTGGACCAAATATGAAAAGTTGATTGATAATTGTGCCAAATATGAAAAATGGATAGGTAAGATACAAGCCTTAGAAAGACTTATAAATGTTTTACCATAAATACATAGTAATTTCTCCAAGTGCCTCCCACTTTTTGCTCTTCCCTAGGGCTTCTACCACAGGCTCTCCAGATCACTGAGCACACAATGCTTGGATGGGCACAGCATTGTTATGTAACAGCCTCTCCCTTTGCTTATCAAAGGTTGTGAGCCTCTTGCCTCACTCTGCTCTCATGCCATGGTGTGAACTTTGAGGTCTTAGTCTTGTCTACCTCCCGGTGGACTAGTTTGCTGTGGTCCATGGCCCCCTTCCTCCGGGCATCTACATGGACTCAGGTCCTCCTGGGAGGTTCTCTCTGGCTATCTGTGCTCTGGGTACTGTTGTGCCCTGTCTGCTGTTCTCGTGGTCCACCAAAATGGCGCTTTGCTACCTCTGAAGTTGTGATTCCCAGGAAGGTTCCTCAGAGAATGGGTGGAAGCGATATGCCGGACCAGATGACCTACAGCATGCGCTTCAGGGGACAAAGACACGTGGTCCATATGAAACTCAAGAAGAATATGATTCCTGAAAACGTTCCTGTGTACACTACTAATGACCAAGGAGCCGAGCAGGAAGACTACCCATTTGTTCCCCGAGACTGTTACTTCTACAGCTACCTGGAAGGGGTCCCTGGGTCCCAAGCTACACTAGACACCTGCCATGGAGGTCTGAATGGCATGCTGCAGGTAGATGACTTCACTTATGAAATCAAACCATTGGCATCTTCTTCCAAATTTGAGCATGTAATTTCTCTGCTTGTGATGGAAATGTCACATAAGTCTAAAAAGTGTAGAAATGAAGAGAATGTGGCGGAGGCAGATGAATCCCTTGAAGAGACGAGGCTTTCTGGAAGTCCCAGAGCAGCTCCAGTGTATTTGTGGCGTGTGCACGTGAAATTACTCCGAGTGCACTATACGATGAGTTCTTCATTAGCTAAAAGCATCAACAACTTTACCGCCTCACTTGAGATGATATTGATCATAAACAGCATAACAGATAGCATTTATAAACTATCTGGATTGACTATCTTTACAAGTGCTATATGGATTTGGGAAAATTCAGACTTGGTGAACTTACACGATGATTTCGGAAGGATTTCGGAAAATTTTTCCGTACATAGACTCCGACTATATAATTCAATCAAGGTTTCCAGTTCAGTTCTTTTAACAGGACATATAATTGGAGATTTGGATTACTCAGCCCCTCAGCATGGAGTGTGCAAACACAAATTGGGAATAGTATATGTACATGTTGCAAATCGTCATGCATTTCTGGGGGCAACTCTTCTGGCTCATGTGCTAGGTCACAGTCTGGGTTTAGACCATGATCAACCGGGCTGTGTTTGTTTCAGAAGAAGCAGTTGTGTCATGAACGAATTTCCCTCTCTTATGGATATGATGAGCAATTGTTCCCAAGCTGGGATACATGATAGGATCCATGGATGGGACGAATGCCTGAGTTTCGATCGTCAGCAGTATGACAACTTTAAATACATAGTTCCTCGGTGTGGAGATAAGAGGGTGGATGAAAATGAGCAGTGTGACTGTGGCTCCTTTAAAGAGTGTTTCCTTAACAAGTGTTGCGGCATCAATTGTGAGTTTTCTCAGGACAGTGATTGCGATACAGGAGGTTGCTGTAGGGACTGTTTATTTATAACCGCTGGATCTGTGTGCAGACACAAACTTGGTATTTGTGATCTGCCAGAATACTGTGATGGGACCTCAGAGAAGTGCCCAGAAGATATGCACATCCAGGATGGAACTCCTTGCTCACCACTAGCAGTTTGCATGTCAGGAAACTGCAGTGATCGCAATATGCAGTGTCAAGCTCTTTTTGGATATGAAGTAAAGGATGCTTCGCCAATATGCTATAAAGAATTAAATCCCAAAGGTGACCGATTTGGAAACTGTGGGATGAAGTTACAAAGAGGAGGAAGCCAACCTCTCGCATGTCAAGACGACGGTATTTTTTGTGGACTGCTGCATTGTGATGGTGTCATTCGTATTCCTGGTGGAGGTGAGCACACTACATTTCATCACATAAAGGTACAAGGTATTAAAGAAGAACAGTGCTTTGGGTATGATGCGGCTGGCAACCACCATACTGTGAAAAGAAAGGACTAGGTGGTAGTACAGACAGTGGCCCTATGACTTTGACTAAGGATATGTTTCAAGCCAAAATACATGTGCATATAAACAGGATACTACTTGTTTTATTTACTCGTATTGCTCTTATCTTGGTTTCACTTATTTTGGGTGCATTTACAAAAGCAATAATGATTGTAGACCTCAGACATGAACATTCTATGATAAGATAGAATTGATTCCATTCCATACTAACTGGAGCCACACAATGAACAACCCATGTCAATCACTACAAGAAATTTCCATTGATTTCCCCTGACAGCTGTGTAACCTGTCCAAGTCTGAGATTTCCATCTTGAAATAAAATCACTGGGGAATTAAAATTGTGCCTCTATGTTTAAATTTGCTTTTATAATTATTTCTTGAAATCTCTCTTTCTTATCTTATCTGTCTCATCTTCTCTCCCTCCCTCCCTCCCGCTGTCCTTTCCCTTCCCCCTTCTCTCACTCCATTTGTAAATGTGAGAGCAGATGCTGGTGAAGGCCAGCATCAGAGTCCCTGGAGCTGGAGTTACAGGTGGTTGTGGGGCGTCCATCATGGATGCTGAGATCTGATGATTCTCTGGATATCCTCAGTGTCTGTTGTTATGTTCCCCTTTTTGTTTCTGATTTGTTAATTTGGATTAGATCATACTTCATAAACCTGTTCTCCATAAAATTTGAATATCTAAAAGAAATGAACAATTTTCGGGGTGGGTACCAAATACCAAAATTAAATCAAGAACAGATAAGCAATTTAAATAGACCTATAACCCCCTAAGGAAATAGAGGCAGACATTAAGTCTCCCATCCCCTCAAAAAAAAAAAAAAAGCCCCAGGCTAGATGGTCTCAGTGCAAAATTCTACCAGAATTACAAAGAGGAGCCAATATCAATACTCCTCAAATTGTTCCATACAATAGAAACAGAAGGAATATTGCCAAACTTTTTATGAGGCTACCGTTACTCTGATACCCAAACATTCAAAGATGCAACAAAGAGAATTACAGACCAAACTCCCTCATGAACATTGATGCAAAAATACTCAATAAAATACTGGAAAACCAAATCCAAGAACACATCAAAGTAATCATCCATCATAACTAAGTAGACTTCATCCCAGAGATGTAGGGATGGTTTAACATATGAAAATCAGTCAATGTAATGCACTATATAAACAAAATGAAAGGAAAACCATATTATTATGTATAGGTGTGTGTATGAGTATGTGAGTACATCCAAGGGAGTACAAGTGACCTAGAGGTCACAGGCATTAGATTCTTTAGAGATGGAGTTACAGACGATTGTGAACAGCCTGATGTGGGTGTTGGGAACTGAACTCTGGTCCTCTGGGAGAGTAGCCTGTGTTCTTATCCACTGAGCCAGCTCTCCAGGGCCCATACCAACTATTCATAACTTGTTCCACAAACTAGAAAGCAAAGGAATACTACCAAAATCATCCTATGAAGCCAGGATTATTCTGATACTCAAACTAGGTAAAGGCATAGCAAAAATAAAACTGTGAATCAAGTTCTTTGATGAACATAAACCAAAAAAAAAAAAAATCCCAATGAAGTACTTGTGAACTGAATTCAGGAATACATTAACAAGATTATGCTTTACAACCAAGGGAACTTAAACCCAGAAAGGCAAGGGTGACTCAACATATGTGAACCAATAGTTTGTAATATTACATATTTAAGGACAGAACCACATAACCATTTTGATCGATGCTCAAAATGCAGTGGTGATGCACACCTTTAATCCCTGCACTCAGGAGGCAGAGGTGGGCAGATCTCTGTAAGTTTGAGACCAGCCTGGGAGGCCCAGAACAGCCAAGGCTAAATAGAGAACCCCTCTCTTGAGAACAAATAAATAAACAAAAGCACTTGACAAAGTTCTGGAGAACTAAGGAATGATACTCAACACTTGAAATTGAACATTTTGGTGTGAAGTTTTGTGGTTATTGCAATTCTAAGACTGCCTTTTGGAAATTTAGATTGATAACCCATTGGTCACCCTAGACAAAGAGCCATTAGGATAAATCATTGGCAAGAAAGTGTTCCCCCATCCATAACAATTTTTTTAAGACAGATTGCCCAACTAGACAATTTCTAAGTTGATTGGTAACTCTAACTTGCCAGACCTGGGACTGGCAAGAAGACTCAGTGGATAAGTATATTTGTTGAGGACCCAGGTTCAGTTTCCAGCACCTAGATGGTAGCTCACAACCATCCAGATTCCAGTTCAAAGAGACTTGACACCTTTTGACCTCCAAGGGCACCAGACATGAATGTGGTGCTCATATGTACACACAAGCAAAACACTGATATACATAAAATAACAAATCTATGATCTAAGAAACAGAATCCAGATTCCACACCTCAATTACACTATCTCCACAAGCATGTAAGCTTCTCATGTGCCTGTTTGTCACCTTACTATGAGAAAATGATTGCCACATCTCCCAGGTCTTTTTTTTTAAAGATTTTATTAATTTGTTATGTATAAAACATTCTGCTTCCATGTATATCTGCACACCAGAAGAGGGCACCAGATCTCATTACAGATGATGTGAGCCACCATGTAGTTGCTGGGAATTGAACTCAGGACCTCTGGAAGAGCAGTCAGTGCTCTGAACCTCTGAGCCATCTCTCCAGCCCCACAGTTCTAGGTCTTAAGACTTCACATGACATTCCACAAAGAAAGGGAGGCAATGGAAAACTTTCATGTTCATCAGGAAAGGAAAAAACCCTTGGATTTTCCTTATGCTCATGGCAGAAACTGAATGTCACAACCATGCCTAAATGTGAGATGAAAAGGCAAACATCCAGCCAAGGGGGCAGAGTGTAGGCTTTCACAACTACCTTAGGCAAATCACAGTTTATGTTCATTCCTACCATTTTGACGTCATTTTGAAACATACCCTCTTAAGCACATGCAAAAGAAAGGGGAAGTGTTTATCTGGCAAGTACCATTTCCTGTCACTCATGTGATGTGGTGTGTCATCTTCAGAGCTCTGACGAGCACTAACAGGCAATAAACTTCTGGTGCACTGTAATTAGGGCTGGCCAAGAAGTGGGTGAGGTCTGTATGTAGCTCCTGTTTTTGTCTTGGTCACAGAATGAAACAGATAACAAAGATACCCAAGCTATAGGACTATAGAAAGCTGATAAAAATTTTCTATAGGATGATTCATTACAAACACCATTACGATGATGAGACTGGCTAAAAATAGAGAGACAGAAAATATCACATTTCTGATAAGCTCTTTGGGTGAAAGAAGTTACCCTTACCCTTTAAGACAAACAAGCAAAAACAAATCAACCAAGTCCCTCTAGGAAGACTAATGTAATAGGTCAAAGGTCAGGAAGCATGTCCTTTTTAAAAAAATTTCCTGTACGTGTGTTCCTTAACATGCACCAGGCATGAGAGTAAGTCTGACCACTGCATGCCAAAATTAATAATTTACTTTAAATCCAGACTCTGACAGCTCCTGCCCCATCCTTATGGTTGAGATCTTATGAATTGGGGAGGGAAATGAAGAAACTGACTTAACTGTAGCACAGTGGTGTTTAATCTGGAAAACAGCCAAAGAGGACCTAATGTGAGTCTTTTATGATCACAGTTCCTCTCTGGGCTCAATTCTTTGGTGCCACTGAAGCCTAGAGGCCAATTGGTGACATTACAAAGTAGGTCAGTGTGAAGACAATTCCTACGTGTGTACTAGTCAATATAAAGAAATACTCCACAGAGCCTACTTATGAAGTAAAGAACTCCACCTAGTGTGCAGGTGACTGGACTCCCTGGAGACAGGGAGTCCAGGGGCTGTAGTGTTATGGCTTGGATGTGGTTTGTGTCAGAGTTAAAGAGTCACATAGTGGATGCTTGGTCTTTAGTAGGTATGACTGGGAACCGTTGAGAGGTGGGGCCTAGTGAGAGTGCCATAACACTGTGAAATGCTGAATTGAAAATAAAGACACAAAGTGATTGCCTGTGAATGGTATCAGGCACACTAAATTTATTTATGCATAATTAACTGAACTTAGAAGCCCCAATAATAATTTTCTCCCAGGTGGTAGTATTTGGATTTTTTTAAATGAATTTTATTTAAATTAGAAATGATCTTATTATACATATCAATCCCAGTCCCCTCTCGCCGGCATCCTCCCACGCCCCCACTGACCTCCCATCCCATCCCCCATTCATGCCCCAGGGAGGGTGAGGCCTTCCATGAGGGATCATAAAAATCTGTCAAGTCATTTGGGGCAGAGCCTAGACCCTCCCCTGTGTATCTAAGCTAAAAGAGGATCCATCCATGGGAAATGGGCTCCCAGAGTTCATTTGTGCACTAGGGATACATCCTGGTTCCACTGCCAGAGGCCCCATAGACTGCCCAGCGCTCCTAGCTGACACCCACATTCAGGGGGCCTGGTTTTATGTTGGTTCCCCAGCTGTCAGACTGGGGTCCATGAATTCCCAATAACAGGAGCCCCCAAATTCTATAATGATGCAAATAAATCAGGAAAGGCAGGTTACAAATCAGAAAATTTAAGTAGAATGGATAAAAGCCCATATGATGCTGTCAAAAAGTCTGGAATTGTATGCTAGGCTCATTGGTATTAATGGATTTTATAAAACCTCTCATCATAGTGATTCAAAATACGGAGAAAGTTATTTTGCATATCGAAACTGCTGAATTTATATATGAGATCCTATGATTTCAAACATGAGAAGGTTCATGAAGTACTTAAATAATTGAAAATTATAGCTGCTGATTCCTCGGGTGCTGTCTTAACAGTAAAGATATCAAAGAGTGAGCATGAAATAGCCCACATTTAGCACAATCCAAGAATGAGAATGAGAAGGTAGACTAGAAGCTAGTTTGTATCCAGTCGCTAGAATGTTCCATCATTTTCTTATGCACTGTCTTCAATTTTAGAACATGTAACCAAAGTATATTTCATCTAGGAATAATGGATATAGTCCCTCAAAGGCCTGAAAATATGACTATAGATAGTTACACAGCAAGGTTAAGAACTAGTATGGAAATTCCAGATGCCTAGAACACAAAAGCGTTTATGCAAAAGCGTTTATGCGTCTACCTACATCGCTGGCATGTGTCCTTTTTTTTTTTTTTTCTTTTCAATGCTTGGCACTTCTTTACAACAGTAAAATGGGCAAGTATGAAATTCTAATAAAGTCAATTTTAAAAACACCATGACAATATTAATATTGGTGCATGTTAATACTTTTGAAATTTAGGGCAGGAATATTTGGAAACCGGGAGTGCTGGCCTCTTAGAATGTTTTCAGTTCCTCTTGTGACTTTGAAAGCCCTGTTTCAT